TATAATTGTTATTGTCATGACTATACTCTCAGTGTGTCAACAGAATGCAACATAGAGTTTTAAGAACAATATCTAATTTGAGTTAAGTTTTGGATTATTAATATGAGAATGATCGCATTTTTTTCCTCAGATGGGAAATGGTTAATTCATAGAACTAGGTATAAAATGGATTCATCTATATTCTCAAATCTTTTTCTGTCAAGGTCAATGGTACTAGTTTTCTCTTCCCCAAGTGGTTCAATTTGGGGCTGGTCAGAAACCCAAAGAAAACTGATGGGCCAGCAGGAGAGCTAAGGAGACTGAGTCCTCAGTGAGAGAATGCTTATGCTTGATGAGCCTCTGAGACTTTGGGTTTCTGTTTCAGATACATGGGTTAGTCAGTGAGCTTTATACCTAAACCCAACATTTGGGTCTTAACTCAGCAACAATCTCTGTAGCGAAGGAGAACTACACTGTGGGAACCACACCAGAGACACTTGATAGTCAAGGCCAATTAAGCACAGAGGCCTTGTTGTCAATACACCGAATGTCCAAGGCCACTCTGCACCTAGGCTAAGATACCATAAACAAGTGCAAGGACAAAGCACAACAATCCGACGGTGTACTGCACATGCATGCCCTTCTGTAGCCAAAATATGATTGATGTAACAGTTGGCAGGAAGCCTTCTTTGTCTATTTGTATATTTAGAAATAATATACAAGTTAGAGACCAGCCAGTATGCTGGGCAGAGGAGTGTGCTGGAGAGAAGAGACTAGGCTAGAGAGCTCAGACGGAGCTGAGAGCTGGTACTGCTACGGTGTAAGGCTAAGACCTCATAGAGAGCTCAGATATAGTTACCATGTTAACCAGCCAGTGTGCTGGGAAGAAGAGTGTGCTGGAGAAGCTGAGGTAGGCACAGAGGATGTAACTACCAGACTGGAGACATGGGAGACAGGAGAAGCTACTGAGGCAGAGATCTCAGGTGCTGCTACTATGTGGGGCGGTGAGTCTAGGGGGCAGCATGTGGCTGCTCAGATAATAACTGTGGGTACAGAGATTAATGCTACTGTGGGAAAATATGTATTTACCAGCTGGTGTCCGGCTGCCTGCCTGAATAGGACTGCTGTGAAGGACTGTTTTGTCTGATGGCTAAATGGCCACTGGCTTTTGTAATAAAGACTCATTCTTACACACCCACACCTTCTCATCACTTCTCCATCTAAGACCTGGCATCCTAGGAGGTCCAGCCCCAGGCAGAGGGGCTTGGACCTGACACCTGCAGCTAATGAGCAGAGGATAAAGGAGGAACTTAGACTAAGTTCCCAACTGTTAGTGTAGGGAGTAGGGTTTGAGAAGGAACCTACTTTGGTGTAGTTGGAAAAAATTTAGAAGGATATATGGACTCACAGCAACTCAGAGCAGCAGTGCTGAGCAGAGCGCTGGCTGTCTCTGACATACACCCATCCTGTAATCTTCACAGTTGCAATCTGAGGGGAGAACCTTGTACTCCAGTTGAGTTTAGGATTTTGGTGGGATAACTATTTGCCCTTTCATTGGGCACGGAAGAGTGAATGACATGTTTGCTGGGATTTTCCCAGCTTTCACGGTGAAATGCCAGCCCTTTCCACTACCCCTTTGCTTTGCTTTCACTAGTCAAACAGCTCGTTACATAGACTCCAGATAATATAGGACAACTGGTTATTTTTCCCAGAGAAGCTTTATATATCCCAAACTCTATTCATTCTTAAAACACATCTTGGATCCCACCTCTTCCATTAGCACTTCTACAAAATACTGAGATGAGTGCCCTTGCTGGTTTAGCTCAGTGGATAGAGTATTGGCCTATGGACTGAAGGGTCCTGGTCAAGGGCACCTACCTCGGTTGTAGGATCCTCCCTAGAAGAGAGCAGGGGCCACACTTTATATTCTTTATATACAACTTTGTTGTGGAGTTTTGGATATATTATTGACTCCCAATAAAATTAGTTAAATGACTTTTTTTATTTTTTGTAATCCTCACCCGAGGATGTGTTTTTCATTGATTCTAGAGAGAGAGGGAGAGAGAGGGAGAGAGAGAAGCATCCATGTGAGAGGGGAACATAGATAAAGGTTGTCTCTTGCATGTGTCTCAACTAGGGATTGAACCTGCAGCCTGGGCATGTGCCCTGACTGGGAATCCAACCCATGACCCTTTCATGCACAGGATGACTCTCTAACCATCGAGCCACACTGGCTAGGGTTAAGTGACTTTTTTTTAAGGTTTCCAAACAACTAGTTGGTGAGACTAAAAAGTCTATTTCATTTGTACTTTTTTTTGTAATTTTAAAGCTTCAAGTGATGATAAAGAGGATCCATTGTAAACAAATCCTTCCATTCTTGAAATGATGGGGTCAGTGGGGCGAGAGGAGTGGGCAGACAGGTGTCAGAAAAGATTGACGGCAGAATGTGGATTTAGTGCATGCTAGAATGTGTGCTGGAAGTGTTTCCTAAAAAATCAGCCTTCATTTTTGAGGCTCCTTTGTTTCTTCAGATGGATGCTAATTGCTCAAGATCACTCAGAAAGTTCAGATGCAGATTTGGGACTAGACCCCAGAAATGCTGTCCTAGCCATGTATTTATAACAGTGACACGTTTCCTGTTACAGGAATAGACAGTATTCATTCATGTTGCTTACATTGCCATAGCAATCAAAATTTATTTATAGCATAAAAACACTAGAAAAGTTATGCTGAACTATTTTAACATAAAACAATTTTAAATTGCTGAAGTATTACACTAAAACATTGTCTTAATAGCTCACATTATCCTTTCTACCATAGACATTACTTGTCTTGCTTTCAATATTACAGTGGTGTGTTACTCAAGATTACATTTGTTAAGATAATAATATTGGTGTTATTATCATTCAAGATTGTACTAATTGAGATATGGTATGTTTACTGGATTATATTTTAAAAATAGAAAAAGAAAAAAATTGGGGGAAGAATTAATGTGGGAAATGGTATCTTATTTTTATAAATAATTTTCTCTTCTAATAAAAAACAATTATTAATACCTAGTCTTTAGAAGATACATCTTTTATTTTTTCTTTGCCAAATTTTGCCGCTTTAAACGTGTTTAACACTGAGTGTTTGATAGTATGGTTAATTAAAAAATATTCTAACTTCAGTTTAGGTCTTCTTATTCAAATTAATAGTCTTTGAATGGCTTAGCATATGACTTGTTTAAACCTTATAATACATTTTCTGCATTTGGGTTATTAAAATAAAAATATAGCCATCATCAGTGATAGTATTTGCAACAAATATCCAAACAAAATTAAACAAACCATATCACTACAGGTGTTAAAAGATTACTTTCACCTATTTTTATCTTAAAAATTAACATAGGAAATAGAATAGTGACAACTTGCATTTTGGAGCTGAGAAAACCAAATCAGAGAACAGTCATTGACTGCTTTTGGATTGAACCCAGGTGTTGCAGGATTCTGTAAAGCCTCATACAATAGTGTCATTTTCTTTTCTCTGATCTGTTACCTTTAGTCCTGACAGGCAACTGGGGGGGTAGGGGGTAGATTGGAGAAATATGCTTTTGCTAATGTGGCGGGTGGGGGGTCGGGGTGGGGGGGGGAGATGACATGATCTGACCAATGAGCACCATGGTTTTGCTTCTGAAAAGTGGAGGGGGGCTGTGAGTGGAAACATGGAGTATTGGCAGGTCTACTGGAGGGATGAAGTCCTTCTCTCTCCATACTGAGGCTTATTAAGTTCTAATGGTAATCATAATCATCCGGTTGTGATTTGGAAGCCCGGTGCCTCCATTCCCTTGAAAGGCTTTCTGTTTTGTAGGTTTCTTGTTATGCTGCTTCCTGAAACTCTATGCCAATTGATGTTTGCATGTTTCTGAAATGGCAAGGCGCCTTCTAATTGCCTCTCCCACTACACGGTGCTCCGAGCTGGCAGGCGCCCTGCTTGCGGGTCACTTTCCCCGTCACACCACCTAGGGCTTGCCAGGGGTCCGTTCAAAGGGCAAGGCGATGCCAATTATTTTCCTTCCTGGCATTTACATGAAAGGTATAATATATGTCCTTTGGGAGGGAGGCTGCTAAAAGGGAATTGGGAGTTTGGTTCCCTTAGTAATTCCCACAACCACAGAGTTCCTGGACGAAAGGAGAAATGAAAAACTGAAACAATGTGAGGAGGTAGAATAGAAGTGCTTTAGTTAATCAGTAAATTTAGGTGCCAGACAATATTTCAAGTGCTTTACCTCTACTCATTTGTTTCTATGATACCGCAGTTCTAAGTAGCGGGTACTGTTATTTCTCCCACTTTGTAGATGAGAAAACTGAAGCCCATGGTGTAGCAACTAGTAAAAGGCAGAACTGCAATTTGAATTTAGGTTGGCTTTGAATCTTGGTGATTGATCATTTTGCTATCGTCCACCTTAATGTAGAATCCATTGTTTCAAATATACAGCTATTTAACAAGTAGAAAAGCAAATGATGACCATGATTCAAGAAAGAGAAATACAGTGAGGCCATTCTCTATAAATCCCTTCATCCCATACTTCCTCATCAGACACCACCTGTAGCACAGTAGCCTCCTTGGGATATTTTGTATCTCTTCCTACATCTGCAAAAAAATACATCTAATCATTGCAGGCTTCCTGTACAAAAATGACGGCTCTAATTGCTCTCCACTTGACAATGTGATTGGTGATGTCCTGACATACTTCAGGGCAGGAGCCTCCAAGGATCACATGAACACTTTTGTAAGAAATCTAGGTAAACTTATACAATATACAACAGATAACCTGCCGCTGAAGAGAGCGAACCCACAGATATAGTTTGTCCTTCCCTCAGCACTATCCAGAATTATGATCCTATCCTCTACTCCTGAAAGGTTATCCAGTATCATAACTCAGAAAATCTTCAATAGATAAAGGACAACACACTTACACAAGGCTGGAATTCATACTATAACCGAATCCATTATGCCTTATTTTGAAATTAATCATTTACCTTAGCATCTATGTAGGCTCCATACTCTTCAGCATTAGTTGTGATGTTTAGAGTAAGTGGTCTTCGACCTGGAGAAGGAAGACAAACAAACCCACAGTTCAAAGTCAGCATGAAAGTAATAGCAATAGTATTGCAGATGCATTTTCACATGTGTGTTAACTATTGTTTCAAGTCAGATTCCAATTGTAAAGGCATTTACCAGTTTGGAGGGTCAGATGAGACGGAATATCAGTGTTTGTGCCCCTGTGCTTTAAGTATCAGCTCGGACAAAAAGGTGAACGGGTCTAAAATGATTCCTGGAACTGAACAATGAATGTAACTGAACTCTGGAGGGAGGGGCAGGCTGCTGCTGGGGAAAAGGGTTACTAAAAAGATCAATTGCACTCTTATCTTGTTAGTCATTAGATAGCCCATTGATGCCACCTGCTTACTTTAAATGTAAGAGCACAGGCCAGCCCTTGGAAAGCTGCCACCCACAGTAGCTTTGGAACCCCCTTTCTTTCTGCTCTAGCGATGGGAAGGAAAAGGCCAGACTCTGACCCTTAGAAGCTAAGCATCTGTTCCTCTGGTAAATGCAGATGTGAGGGCAAATCAGAAGGCAAGTCTTTCCCAGGGGAGAAGGGAGGGTGCGTTCAAGGAGTATACCAGAATAAGAGGAGTTGGTAAAGTTAATATTAATGTGAACTCCTGAGACATTTCAAATGCAAAAAGTGAAATGGCTCAGAATATTTTCTTTCTTTTCAGGTAATCATCTGTCTCAGATCTGAAGTGGCCATATATTAAATATGCACAGATTATTACAAATGTTTTCTTTGCATTAATGGTCTTTGAGAACCACTCTTTTTCAGTTGTCAACTTTTCTTTCCCCAAAGCATTAAAAAATGGTTTACCTGTCTTAGTATAATATCAGTTGCCAACGATTAAAGGTTCAAAAGAAATATTATATATTTTCTAAAGTAAAGTAACTGAGTGCTCACCAGTGGTAGACAGGAAGAAACGTTATTTATTATTATTTTTTTAATAATGGTAATAGGATTTTTGTCCTCAGATGCTATTATCTACTTCTCTCTGCTTCTGCAAACTCCAGCTGTAAATGGGCCTCTCAACTTTTTTCTCACCCCCTAATATTAACCTCAGCCAGTCTGGTGATGGGAGGACTCCAGATCATCCCACTTTGTTGTATATAAGGACTTATTTCTCTTTGAATAAAATTAGCATAGTTAATTTACATTGTTTGTTTTTGGTGGTATGCATATTTATTATTTATTGATTATAACTATTCAAGCAGTTATTATTTATTTTATTACCAAGGAATAGCTTTCTCTCTATGTTGAACATTCCCATTCCAGTCAAAAACATTCTGCAAGCAGTAAAATGCTAATTTAGGAGAGGAATGGAGAAATGTAGAAGATACTTAATATTTGTCCAAGCAGTGAGATCATGAAGCTAACTCGTAACCTGTTAACAACTAATTACTGCTCTCTCATTGGCTCATTTTTGTCTCTAAAATTCAAAGTATTGCGTGTAAATTCTGAATACTTAAAACTCATTCCTACCTAAGCAGAAAGTCCATGGACAGATTTTCCATCGAGTCTTACAACTGTAAGGGAAAATCAAGCATTAGCTATACTAATAAAAGGGTAATATGCTAATTAGACCAGACATATTCTGGATGACTTTCCAGACATCCTTCCGGACCAAGCCATGGTGGTGGGGCTGAGGCAGAGGAAGTTAGGGGCTATCAGGCCGGCAGGGGAAAGCAGTTAAGGGGATCAGAAATGTGTTGTATTTTCTCCAGATTCTTGCCAACACATTATTTTTTGTCTATTTGACAAATATCATTCTGATAGGCGTGAGGTAGTATCTCATAGTGATTTTAATATGTATTTTCCAGATAATTAGTTGAGCATGTTTTCATGTGCCTTTTAGAGAAAGAGTATTCTTAAACTATAATTCGGGGGTGGGGGGAATCTATGATATGCAAGAAAAAATAAGTTCCAAGTATTAGAAAAGTAACATTTTTATCATTAAGTTGAAAAAGAATAAAGTATAATTATGAGTATATACCAAGGAAAGAGAGTACATAATTCAATGTGAAAAAACACACACCAAAACTCAAGAATTAAAAGAAGCCAGTTTGGAGAAAAACTACATCCAGTGACATCTCATCTAGAGAAAAGGGAAGTGAAATAAATTTAAGTAAAATAGAGGTTCATTCCAGTATCATCTTGTTATTCTTTACATCTAAAAGAGAAATATTTATTTTGATAAGTTTTGAGAAAACTTCACAGCCTTAATATTTTTATTATTTAAAAATTCACTTTATTCTCCCTGACTAGTATCCTCATGCCCCGATGATGATGATGATAAACTCCTAACTAACTGTACCTTCTGTTTTAGGAGCCTTGTAAAACTGATAAGGAAAGATTAGCAATTTTGCTTTCCTGCATGTTATAGCCTGAGGAAGCTTTTGAAATCACAACTAATATCGTCACTTCCCCAATTAAAACAACAACCCTGAATGTTCTGAGTGGAATGAGCTTTCACAAATTACCTCCTAATTTGGAGCCTCATGTTCCAGAATGGAAATGTAGACAATCAATTGGGAAGGGCTGATGATGTTTGAGCAGGGGAGTGAATGAACCAGAAATCCAATTGAAGTAGATGAAATGTATGTACTATAGATCAGAGCAGGACAGAAAGTGGATCTATTCAATAATAATTTTAGCAATATTTAAAATTTAATAGTACTATTTTAAAGTAACATACTATGTTAATAATATAGCATACTGATCTTACAATAATTCATAATAATAATAGTACTAAATTTAACAGTAAATAGTCATTTTTAGGACTATTAGATATGGAGGATACAGACGTAAACTAGTTGGTCAAGGTCTGGGCTTTCACAGACAGAAGGCAGACATAAAACATCACATAACTCAGAGAGAGAGAGAGAGAGAGAGAGAGAGAGAGAGAGAGAGAGAGAAAGAGAAAGTGTGTTCTGAAAATGTCTAATTCTAGAAGAATGTGTCTAAAGTTGTGAAGATTGTATAGTAGGCTATTATTATAGTCCAGACAAGAAAGAAGAAAGAGATTAATGAGAACCTAGGCTTAGGTGGGAGCAGTGGGAATTAAAAGTAAGAAAAAGACGCAAGAGGTATTTCAGAGACAATCAATAGAAATTGGCAACTGCTGAGATATGCAGTAAAGGGAGGAAAGAGACATGGATTACAAAGTTGGAGCCTCATTGAAACTGGGATGCCATTAACAGAAATACAGATGTCAAAATACAAACTAGTTTGATGGGGTAATGATGAATTTGGGTGTGGTACCTTGTGTTTGATGTGTCAAAAAGTCAGAGATGACAGAAAGTAGCTGGAAGTGTAGGTTATAAATTAGGGAGAAACTAGAGCTAGGATTCGGGTATCCTTTTGATGGACAGGTAAGAGAAAAAGAGTCCTGGGTGCTCCGAGAAATGACATCATTGGGGGAAAGCACAACTGGAGTTAAGGCGTTTAGGAGTAATAGCAGTTAAATACTGTTTCCCATGGGATCCACACTCAACTTTACAGGGGTTAACTTCATTTTCAAAACAATTCCCAGGGAGTAGATTGTGTTATGAACCCTGCTTTATAAATTAAGAAATGGAGGCACAGAGAGATTTTTACATCCATACAGCTCATAAGCAGAAGAGTCGGGATGCCAACGTAGAGAACTTAGCCTCAGAGCCTCTATCCTTAACTGCAATGCTGTCGTAGGTCTTTGGCAGAGTGAGTGGTTTTGAAAAAGAGGCTTGCTCTTATTAAAAGAGAAATCCTGCAGATTAGCAAAGCAGACATTCAAGGGCATAAGGCTGAACTTGAGAGTGAGAGCAACATGTATGAGAAACATAGGCGAAAGAGTGGGTTTTGATATTAAGCAAATGGCCACTTATAAAAGCATTTTGTTACACTTTTTTGACAAGTGTTATGAAGGAAAGTTCAGGATTCGATGGGAGCCTATATTAAGGGTCCTAACGATTACGTAGGAGGTGTAGGGGGTAGCTCTGAGAGGAATCTGCCTTGAGAAAGTGACATTTCCAAGGAGGCCTACATCATGGTAGGAGTTAGCAGGACAAAGAGGGAAAAGAAGGGCACTCTGGATTTGAAGGCCCTTAGGAAGGAGGAACTTGCAAGATTCAAGGAGTAAAGAAATCTGGGGCAAAGATAAGGGGAAAAGGGCTTACGGATTTTGGACTTTATCTGAAGAGTAATGGGAAGATATGAAAGGGATTAAGTAAGAGCGAGTGCCAAAATGAAGGCTGAGAGTTTAAGTAAACTGTCCAAGATCATACAGCTACTAATTCACGGAGCCAAAAGGAAACCCAGGTCATCCCAGCTCCAAGGTCCCTTCTCTCACAAACTAAATTATTGTCCAGGACCGGGTTGCAAAATGTGTAACAACCAGCTCTCCGGGGAAAAGGCAAAGATTTGTAGCATTTGCTGATATCAGTGGTATTTACTAATATTGCTGATTTCTAGCTACTGATAGGAAGCTACCGGATGCAGAGTTGGGAGGAGACACTCTATGTCACACCATTATGTGGGATTTCTAATATTCAGATGCAATAGGTGAAAGTATCCTCAGGAACATGGAACATAATGCAGTGTATAGCAACAGTTAGAATGCGATGAGTTCTATGTATTTATTACGTTTGCTTTTAATATAATGTATTAATTCACAATATTTAATAGTATTATCTCCTGAGTAGGTACCAGCTGGCACCAGCACACCATGGTTACCACCTCAAAGAATCATTTCTTAAGGGCACATTTTTATTTATCCTGCTTTAGTTTGGGGAGATGGTCCCAGGAATCTTAGATAAAAGCTCAGTTATGTCTTTGCACTTATTATGTGGATCATCAGAGCATATTTAGTGAGAATAGTGTGTGTTTTGTTTGTTTTGTTGACTCCACAGCAGGCCAAGAGTAGTGAGGCGGGGGTGTGTGTGTGTGTGGGGGGGGGGGCAGAGTTAGGCAACGTTCTCCTTGGGAAACCAGGTGACCAATAGTGAACATTTCCGGCT